TGCCATTCATTTGGCACTTCATTTACATCCGGGTTATTTATGAATCCAATGTTCACTGATTTGGTTTTATCTGCAACTCCTGTGTCCACTACTTCCGTATTCTCTTCTAATACTGAGAATTCTATTACATCATCTGCATTTGTAGTATCATTTTCGTCATCCGCATTTGAATTATAGTCGTCGTTTTTACTTTGTAATCATTTCCATTACTAGAGCTTATTTTATTTATCTCAATATTATTTGAAACAGCAGTGTTTCCGCTATCAGTGATGATATACGGAACGATATGATTTTTATTTCGAGAAGTTGACGGGTCACAATAAGGTAGGTTTACTGAATTATTAGTTGAATTGTTATTAAGCCGCCACAATTTTTGGCATTATTTGTACGTTGATTGTTACCGTATGAGTCCATATAAGATTATAGTTATCTTATTTGTTGATAAATGTTTGTGGTCACAAAACATTTCCGTTTAAAAAATAACCGAACAAGTAGTGTCCGTCTCAATCATTTTTTTTATTTCAAATTCATATTCTTATTCATCCAGTTTAACAGGTTAGAAGATATTCAAGTGTTTCTACCGACGGTTAAATCGACAAACCGTCACAAAAATTTTAGTTATTAAGCGTCATAATTTTATTGCATTAAACGCGTCTCTAAATAATATAGCCATAGTTCATATGCTAGTTCCATAAAATGATGTAAACACACATCCATTTCCTCTGATGTATTCATCCGTTATCATCTGTTGTGTTCATTTGTTGTCTTCTTCTGTTGTCTTCATCTGTTGTCTTCATCTGTTGTCTTCATCTGTTGTCTTCATCTGTTGTCTTCATCTGTTGTCTTCATCTGTTGTCTTCATCTGTTGTCTTCATCTGTTGTCTTCATCTGTTGTCTTCATCTGTTGTCTTCATCTGTTGTCTTCATCTGTTGTCTTCATCTGTTGTCTTCATCTGTTGTCTTCATCTGTTGTCTTCCATTTTAATTCATGTCTTTATCAAAAGTTATTATCCATTGTCACTATCATTGTCACTATCATTGTCACTATCATTGTCACTATCATTGTCACCATCATTGTCACTATCATTGTCACTATTATTGTTGTAAGATTTTGAGTTCCAGTTTAAGAACTCAGTTAGGTGTTGACTTGTTTAAGTCAATCACAGCGATCATTACATGTCATTCGCACCCCTCAGCTAATTTAAGCCAAGGCTCTCATTCCTTCCATGTAAGGTGAGAAGAGCAGAGGATTAGTGTCAGCTTTTAAACCGACATCCTCTGTTGACAAAAGCACTGTACAACCATTCCCTCGGTGTGTACAGGCCTATGATCATTTTTGGACCTTTAAGTCCTATTTATGAAGAGTGACTTTGGTTTAAAAGTCTACTCATCAATGTTGTTGTAAAGTTTACAGACTAATAATTTTACCACTCTTTCAGTAGAGGTGAGTACCGACTCGTTTAAGTCGATTGCTACCGATTTTAGATGAGTCCTTAATCCTCGACGCTGCCACCAAATGTGTTGTGTTGCCGTCTTTTCTGTCCACTATATGCGCTGATAGTCCCGGACCATAATCGAAGCACACAACCCCGAGATCCGTCCGATGATAGATCTCGCCAATGATCGCTTGTTGATAATCTTAGTAATCCTTAAGAACACCACAGTTAACACAATGAAGAAGTAATCCAAATAATGGTACACACATTATAATAATTAAAAGTATTGTTTATTTAATAATTGATAAAATAAAAGTATACATCAGTACATAAAAATATAACTATACTGCACTGCCCGGAACTGCTGACCAATGATATGCAAGTTTATGCATAGCAAAGGCCTGCCAGTCCAGGCAGAGCTTTAGCTACTGTTAGAGTTAACTGTTTTAAGTCTAAACTCTATAGCTCTTGAGCTGACCAGTTTAAGTCTTAGCTCAACACTTGAGTGACTTTACAATGAGAAGTACCTCAGTATTTATATGCTTTTGAATCAATAGGTCTTATTGTTTGCAGACGACACCAATGAGTGTCGTGTGCACACATGCCTTACTCTACAATATATAAGTTCCCCTCACTTAGACATTTCTATATAAATTCCCATTAATAACAAAGACATTACATTTAACTACTTAATATTCCCACTAATATTCTCTAATGTTCCCGTTTAACTACAACCCTATTTATAATAGTGTAACAATTTTAGACGGGATAATTCCCGGGTTTACTCGGGTAATTATCCCTTAATAATATAAGTTTAACTTTTTAATCACGTGACTCCTGGTTTGTCCCGTTGGGACTAAAACAGGTATCCCGTTTACAACTCTATTGTATGTGGTGTCGATACCCATCGATAGATGGCAGTACCGGCGCCACAATACATATACATCATTGCCTGACAGTAATTATACAATATTATAATAATAACAATAACAAATAATAACAACTATAATAATATCTATATTAACAATAGATAATTATAATTATAAACAGTATTACAAAATGTATTTACCTTATAATTAAATAACAGTATTAATAGTATCCTTTAATTGATATTCAGTATTATAATTAAAGTCAGTATTTTCACAACACTAGTCATTACTACTTAACAAACCACTACAATATTATTTATAATGTATTATATGAGAAATAACAATAAGTATTAATTAACATTAACTAATAGTATTTATATTGTATTAAAATATATGTATTATAAACAAAAACTGTTACACAGTATTATTATATAAAAAGCCGTAAAATATATAGTATTATTATAGTATTTTTAAGTACAAATTACATGTACAGTATTAATAGTAAATATAAAAATAATTTTGCATACTATGCAAAATGCAAAAGTATATCAGTATTTACTGATATGAGGCAATATTTATACTATATAAAAATATTGAAATGTATAAAAAACAAATAATTTTCAATAAGAGTGGTAAAAAATTATTTTTTTCTAATACTTATTTTTTAAAAATCTATTTTAATCATTAAATTTATTTTATTTTAGGATCAAATGAAAAATTAACGACAAATATTATTACTAACAGCTTTGAGAGACCTAAGGTACCCAATAATAGTTTTAAATTAGAAAGTATTAAAAATATTAATAATAACTTATTAGATATTAATATTAGTAATAATGTATTAGATTATACTAATAATACTAATAATAATAATAATAATAGTTTATCTAACAAAAATTCAGATATTAAACTTGAACCAATGTATTCATTACTAAATAAGCAGGCTATAATTAAATATTTTAACAAACAATTTTATGTTTTAAATATTGGCCATAAAAAACAACAAATTATATTGGACAAAGATGAATCAAAATTGTATAAAAATTATGAAATTATTGATATAATTGGCCAGGGTGGTTACGGTATTGTATTGAAATGTCAACATAAAATGACTAAAAATCTATTTGCCATCAAAATTGTTGATAAATCAGGTTTGCATTTAAAAATATATTTATTTTTATATTAGATACTTATAATAGAAAATAAAGTAATAAATATATTATATAGATACTAGCTAAAATGAAATAATAAATTATAATATATATATATTTTTGTAATTATTATTTTATTTAGGATACAATGAAATGTTAACATTATCATTGCTGGTATCACCTTATATTATAAAATGTATTGAATCGTGGGTCGAAAATAATAATATTGATAATATTAAATTTCATAAAAATAATAAAATAAATAACAATAATACTAACTTATTTAGTATTAAAAAATATTTATGCATAGTAATGCCATTGGCTGATGGATCATTGCATGACATAATTATTCAACTAAAATCATTAACAAAATATAAAAATCAAACGGCAATACAAATCAATAATATATTTATTGCGTGTGAACTGTTCAAAGATATAGCTCAGGGCATCAAATACTTGCACTCACAGAGACCGCCAATACTGCACTTGGATCTCAAACCCAGTAACATATTGATTGAGATAACTGAGCCATCAGTTAGTGTATGCAAGTTATGTGACTTTGGACTGGCTGTACGAGAAAATACCTTACATTTTTCGGCCAATCAATCGGCACCTTCAGGTACACCACCTTATATGGCACCGGAAGGTTTGTCGGGTGGTGTCAAAGCAGATATCTATAGCTTTGGTATTATATTAAACAATTTGTTTGATCAATATATTGATGTCAATAATGATTATACAACTAAACTGATAAACAATTTGTTTAATAAACAATTGGATGCATTAAGACAATTGAAAAAAGAGATGACACATAAAAATCATTTAAAACGACTGTCTATTCAACAAATTATTGATAGTCATCGACAATGGGATTGTAATTTGCAATGCGTTCAAAACAATAAAGTTGATATTATTAATATGTTAAATTATACAAACAATATGATTTTACTGAGACTATTTGAAATTAAATTAAAACAAAACAATCAATTAGTAAAATCAGTACAACAACAAAATAAAATAACATATAAACATGAAATTGGCAAAATTCAAAATAACTATTATGTCATTGATTACCATGGTCATACAATTACCATTCAAATAGCCCAGTCTGAGTTATTTAATAAATATAGCATATTAAGTATAATTGGTTCGGGTAGTTTTGGACTAGTACTTAAATGTAGTGAAAAAATAACCGGAAGTATAGTTGCCGTCAAAGTTATAGATAAGTCATTTGGTAATTATTTAATTATTATGATTTTTTTTAAAAAATTGTTTATAAAATTAATATTTAATAGTTATTATTATTTGTTATAGTCTATAATCAATTAGATATTATAAGTACTTTGGACTCACCTTATATAATTGATGGCAAACATTATTGGACCGAAAACGGCCAAGATAATTGTAAAAATCATAAAAATAAATTAAATATTTATTTATGTATTAAAATGTCCATGGCTGATTGTACATTAAGAGAAATAATTGAGATAATCAATTTTTTATACAATCAATATCATAATATTAGTTTAATACAAATATTTCATATGTTTATTGCCATTGAACTGTTTAAAGAGATTATCCAGGGTGTCAATTATTTGCACTCACATGTGCCACTTATATCGCACCTGGATCTCAAACCTAATAATATACTAATTAAAGTATCGGAACCATTGAACACTGTTTGCAAGATTAGTGATTTTGGATTATTATCAAAACCTTATGTAAAAACAAATTCAACACATTGTGGGTCATCAGCCTATAGAGCACCGGATGGTCTATTCTATGGAATCAAAGCTGATATCTATAGTCTGGGAGTTGTATTAAATAATATGTTTGATCCGTATTTGTCAAGCGATGACTCTACTAACAGTACTTTACAGCCTATCACACCGTTACCTGAATTTTGCAATCAACTAAACAATTTGAAAAAATTAAAATCAACAATGACCCATGGTGCTTTTAGTGTTAGACCAACTATTAAACAAATTATAGATAAACAACATTTATGGCAAATTGATATTGATTATATTAAATTACACAATGATAATATTGTTAGTATGCTAGAAAATACTAATAATAATTTACTATTAAGAATATTTAAAATTAAAACTTAAAAAGTTAATCAATAGTAATATAAATATAAATATAAATAATAATATAACAATTTTTATTATTGCATATATTATATAATATTAAAGGATATATTATTTTAATACTTCTCAAAATTTTAAATAATAGTTTAATAATACAACCTGCATATGTAAATAAGATAAATAATGATAATCTAGTCCTAACTCATCAATTAAATGTAATGTAAGTAATTAAACTTTAGTTATTTTAATATTATTATTAGGCGTGGTTCACATATTACGTTCGCACTTTTTAAGAAATCTAGACCCCCTCCCTCCCCTATGTTCGCATATAGTCATTTAAAAAAAATTACGTTCGCATGTCCTTAACCGCTACCCCCCTCACCACAAAAAATAAAATATTATCTAAATGCGAACGTTCTTAAAGACTATACCCCTCCCATCCCCCTCGTTCGCAAAAGTTCGCTTTGGCCAACCCCCCCCCTCCCCTCAAGTGCGAACGTAATATGTGAACATCGCCTTATTATAAAGTTATTTTTCGTTTAAAATAATCTTAAAATATATGTATCAAAATACAATTTACAAAAAGTTGAGTATTTTATAAAATTTAATCAGAAACTACATTAATTTCTTATTAATTATTTAATTTTGACTTTTTAATTATGGCATTTATAAAATTAACTAACTATTTTTAATATTCATATATATATATACATGCATTTGTATATGCATTTATAGGTACATATAATTATATTTTTTTCTTGTGTAATAATCTGTACCCAAATATACATAAATTTTGAACAAAATTAGTTATTTTATTACTATAACTAATATATTTAATAAACAAATAACTAACTTCTATTAAAATATATTTAATTAATAAAATTAAGATATTTTTAATAAATATATATTAAATAGATTAATATAATACATAAGTTATATCAGATAAAACAATAAATTATTATTCTTATATTTTGATGTAAATAAATATTTTTTATTTATATTATTTGTATTTTTTAATTCTTTAACTTTATAAATAATATGCATTTTAAAAGTAAACAATTAATTAATTATTAAATTATTGTAATTTAATTTTAAATATAATAAATAAATAAATATATAAAAAAAATAATTTTTAGTTTATACTGCATAGTATTAAATTATGTCAAATGACTGTATATAGTATTTAAATTACTAAACAAACCTATAATTAATTGTTACAATCATATGATATAATTTATATGATTTTTTAGTTGTCAAAGTTGTAATCACATTTTAATTAATAACTATTATTTTGCCATAATATATAAATTGCATTTAATGAGATGCAATATTTTATTAATATAATACATAATATTACATATAATTTAAAATTACTTAATTAATTAAAATCTATTTCACATTTCAAAAAATAAATTTATTAACAAATGATTATTTAATTAACTAAAACACTAAAACACGTCATACTATCATATTTTTCACACATCAGGTGATAGGTATTATTAAATTTACGGAAAGCAAAACATTGTACTTTAGATTTAAAGTTAACACATAATCTTTTTAATAGTTTTATACACAGTATACCAATACATCATTACCCGGATTTCATACCTAAATATATTAATTGGCAATATATTATACAGTATACTCATTTTATCACACCATATAGCTATATTGTATCACACTATATACAACACTCGACCAATTAAAAAACTGTACCTGTATAAATTTATTTATTATACAGTATTTATATTTATTTTTTTAAAAAATAGTGTCATACATCGAATATTATTTTAATATAAGCAACAAAATATATTTTCTTAAAAAATGCAAATTAAAAATTTATTATTAGTTTTTGTTTGGTTTATCTTCAATGATACCAATACTGCTAATGAATCAATTCGACACAATTTGTGTCGATTGATACACTCGGGTCAACCCAAACATACCTTCTATTTCCGGAATCATTGTGTCTGTCCCTATACTGAACTAATACAACAATTGGATGAGCTAGCACATATTTATGCATATTGCGATGATAGTAATAATATTGTTGCTGATTTCATAGATGACCCACTACCATTTATGTTGCTAATGTGTCAATCAAAACCAATGCAAATGCCCAGCAAAGATTATGATAATAAAAATTTTCAAAAACATCGATTACAACAATTTGGCCAAAATTGCATCACTAATGCTGATTGTCAACTGGATAAACAATTACGTTGTTTGAACGATATGTGCATGCTGAAATATAATAGAAATTATCACAGTATTAATAATACTAGCTATAAAGTCAAGTTATTTAAAGATAAAGTTGTTTTTATACATAATATGAATGACAATAATCTATCTGAAAATATTAATTGTAGTTCATTGATGGAGTCTAAAAAATTGGACAAAAATGTGATTAAAAATTGGATTAGGATGAATTTTCATTTGAGTAAGTAATTTAAAAAAAAATTATTTATTTATTTAATTATTTATTTTTAAATAGTGTCAAACTCAACTAATAATTTAACAAGATACGTTAATTACACAAAAATGTCATCTAGTAAAATTAATAGTAATATTACCGGTCAATCAAATATTTCTAAGGAAAATCTAAATGCTTTAACATATATTAACTTATCAAACATTATCGGCTATATTATGATAGGATTAATAATTATGAGTATTTTAATTTGGATATTAATTGGCTATATAAACAAAAATAATTATTCAATTAATTATTTCTATACACCTCGCTATAGACGTCCATTCAACAAAAATCAATTAAATCTACAAGGTAATATTTTTATAAAATTATTTTATTTTATTTTTTTATTAATACAAAATATAATTTATTTAATAATTTTTGTATTTGTTTTCTATACAGAATTATTGATAAGATGTTCAAATAATTTTGCTTAATCATAATATTAAGTTTTAAAACTATTATTGTAATTATTTTTTATTAATGTATATTTTTTATCATTATTTAGTATTTAATCAAGTTTATTGTTTATTATTTAATTAATATATATTTAATTTTCAAAATATGTTTTTCTACATTTTATTGTAAATTTTTACAAATTAATTTCATTGTTTTACAATTACTTTAATTACTCTGATTGTTTTAGTTTTTTATTATTAATTAAGCATGTATATTAATTTATTTTAAAATAAATAACTAATTATAATATGAAAACAACGAATCACATAGTTAATATTTAATATTAAACTTTATTTTAAAAACTTATTAAACGTTATTAAAAACTATAACCTTTTTATTGAATATAACTAATATTCAATAATAAAAAATAAATAAATGTAAAGTAATAAAACAACAAATTTTACAAACAATTAAAAACAATAATATTAAATAATACAGATATAATAAACAATAATATAGATACGAGTAGTTAATAATGTGATTTGTGTCCATTACTGCTAACAAGTCCGGCATAATTACATGACAGTCCTTTTGAATCCCAGAGCAAACCGGGCGCACATTTGTTAACAGTATTTCCCTCTTTATTGTCACATATAATATATTTTGATTCATTGGACGGATGGCTAACCGTTCGTCTAACGGACGAACAGTTTTCATTTTGACACAACTCATCCAAATCTAGACCGTCATCGCTGTCCTCATCGGAGACGGGAATACAAGTAGTGGTCTGTTTTCAATTGGCGTCTGAGTGGTCGGCGCTTCGCTAGTTGTCTTTGTTGTCGGACTAGAAGTAGTTTCGGTAGTAGTAGTAGATGGCTGTTCAGTAGTCGGTTGTTGTGTTGAAGTAGTACTTTGTACTGGTGTTTGATTGGATGGTTGTCCACTGGTTGGCTCATCTGTTTGCTGTGATGTCGTTGATATAATTTTAATATATTACAAAAACTTTTTAAAACTAAAATAAGTTAAATATGCTAATCTAGTAAACTCATCAATTTATGTAAGTTAATAATTTTAATTAGATAACAAACCTATAATTAAATAATACGATATAAGTAATTTAATAGCATTCAATATTTTACAAATATTATATCAAACACATTTTTTAAAAAAATATACACAGATAATTAGTTGAAAGATATTTCAATCAGTTATTTAACTAAACTTGAATGTAAATTTGTTAACTATAATTTCATTATATAATATATTAATTAAATTGAATAATATTATACATCACACTATTATCTATTTTTACACATTTTATTGTACTTTAGATTTAAAGTTAACACATGTTGTTAATACCTATACAGTAAAAAACCACACATACTATACACATGACAGTAACACCATATACATCAATAGACGAATTAAATATAACTGAGCCTGTATAAAAATAATCTAAAACATTTACAACTAAAGTATATAATAATAATTCTAGTAAACAAAACTAATAACTTATTTTTGAATAGTTTTGAATTCAATATTATTCTTTAGTACAATATTTCAATAATTTTTTTTAAAAATTAAAATTAAATATATATTATTAGTTTATGTTTTGTTTACCTTATATGCTATCAGTGCTTCTAATAAATCAATTGAACACAATTCGTGTCAATTAAAACACTCTGATCAACAAAAACATGTTTTTCATTTCCGGAATCGCTGTGTCTGTCCCTATACTGAACTAATACAGCAACTGAATGAGCTAGTTCATATCTATACTTATTGCAATCAAGTTAATGGTAGCTATAATATTGTTGCTGATTTCATAGATCACCCACTACCATTTATGCTACTAATGTGTCACTCAAAACCAATAGTAATGCCCCGTAATGTGAATGATAATAAAATTTTACAAAAGCTCCGATTACCTAATTTTGGACAAAATTGCACTAAAAATACGGATTGTCAAAACGATAAACACTTACGTTGTTTGAACGAAATGTGCATGCTTAAATATGATAAACATTATCAAAACATCAGTAATACTAGTTATGATGTAAAATTTTTCAAAAATAAAGTTGTCTTTATTTACGATATGAGCGACAATAATCTACCTGGACAAATTAATTGTAATTTGTTGGTAAGTTCTGGAAAACAATTAGATAAAGATTTACGTAAAAATTGGACCTTGATAAGCTCACGATTGGGTATGCAATACTTTAAAATTTTAATTTTTTAATAAATAAAATAAAACATTTTTTATATTATTTATTTTTTTTAATAGATTCAAAATTACTAAACAATTCAACAAAATCTATTGATAACACAAAAGTATTATCTTGTCGAAATAATCCTATTATTATTACCGATCAAACAAATATTTCCGATGAAAATATAAATTTTAATAATAATAACCTATCAAACTATATCGGCTATATTTTTATCGGATTAATAGTATTGTCAATTTCAATTTGGATATTAATTAGCTATTTAAACAAAAATAATTATTCAATTAATTGTTTTTGTAAATCTTTTTATACAAATCTATGCAACAAAAAACAAATAAATCCACAAGGTAAATAAATATGTTTATTTTTTTTAATTAAGTTTTATTGTACTAAATAAATATTTTTTTGTTTTGTTTACAGAAGCATTGTTAAAAAGTTCAAATATATAATTACTAAATAAATTATTGTGTTATTAATATTAATAAAAATTTCATTTTTTTGTTAATATGTAATACATATTATGTATCTGTTTTATTATTATTAGTAATAAAAAGAAAGATTTATCATAAAAGTGTCAATTTTTTTATCTAAATATTAGATAAAAAGTAAAGCATTTCTAATGTTATTTAATTGAGACTTAAAAGAGGACTATTTAAATAAGACAACATATTTGCAAATTAGTATTATAATAATAATAGTAAAAATTAATTTGCAAAAATACTTAAAAATACATTTAGATTTTAAAACATAAATTATTTATATATATTAGTTATTTATTTATATTAATCATAAGAATAATTTTTTTAGTGATTTTATATTTTAGATAAAAACTATTGAATAATGATAACAATTATTTTGAAGTTTTGAAGATATCAATAGTTTTGAAAATGTCATTACAGAGACTATAAATAGCAATATATGTGAATCTGTAAAGGCGCCGACATCTGTAAAGGGAATTCAGCTGTTCCTTGGTTTGGCCAACTGGTATTGGCGATTTGTGCCTAATTTTAACCGTATTACCGAACCACTCACTTAACTTACACGGAAATGTGTAAACTTTGAGTGGACTGATAGACAACAGAGGCTTTTTTATCAGCTTAGACTGGCACTAACTACCGAACCAGTAGTGGCCATCTATCAACCCGATCGTCTAATTAAGCTCAGCACCGATGCCTCAAACATTGGTTTCGGTGCTATACTCAGCCAACCCGATAATGATGGCCATCAGCGAGTAATGGCATACTACTCTCGTCGGCTTAATTGCCACGAAGAGCGCCATAGTGCGTCCGAGCTGGAATGCTTGACCGTGGTTGAGGCTATGGAGCATTTCCATGTCTATGTCCACGGGAAGCATACGGACGTCTACAACGACCATAGCGCTTTACAGTTGCTGTTTGGCCTTAAAAGGTCTACCATCAGTTTGTTTCGATGATCGATCCGTTTGTCGGTATACGACTACACCGTACACCATCGAAGCGGTCGTACAAATGAGGCGCAGAATGCCTTGTTTCGAGCACCAGTGTGTCTTCTGGTGACAACAGAAGAACTTCTCTCAGCACAAGGAGAGCTCGAACCCACAAACATGCGACAAGTTAAAAGAAGAGACGGCATCTTAATCAACCGTCATCGCGGTGTCATTCCCACACTTTTACTTATAATTAAGTAAAAGTTTTGAGACATTAATCTCTTTGTTTTTTTTGGACAGCATTGTCCACTCAAGACGCCCGCACGCACGCTAGCTGACCACTTACGGTAGCCAGTGCTACAATAGAATAGTTCATTTTGATAATAATAATTATAATAACATTAAACTATTCTAATAAATTATCATTTACTTAATTATTTTTTTTAATTTCGAAATAGTTTATCAATTATATAAATATGCATAATATAAATTTTATTTTGTACTTTAATAATATTTATGTTATTTTTTCATACAGACTTATTATTAAGATATTAAAGATTTTTACATAATTGTTATTAATATTGTAATAATTATTGTAAAACTATTATTTTCACGAACTCCTAAAAGGAGATCGTATATGCATTCTATAAGTCTGTCGGTCTGTCTGTCCGGTGTCTCACGAGGACATAGGTTCGAATCCACACTCTTCTACACATTTTTTTTGTATTTTTTTCTTTTTTAAGTTAAGGAGTTCGTATGGAAATGCTTTTGAAGCATTCTCAACTGGTTATAAATACTTAGCTATGATTGTTAATTATTAAAATTTTTAACATGTATTTTTAAGGTTTTTACAATAATTTATTAATAAAGATGGGTGCAAAAAATATGGGAATAAATTAATTGTGTTTAAATTAAATATTATTGCACATCAAATTAGTAATATATATAATCACAAAATAATAATAATTAATAATTAATTTTCGCCCCATTGGCAGCAATACACTTTTCTAATCGGGAATCCATACTTCCGATTAGGCTCTCTATATGTTTTGGAGCACAAAGCTCCCATATTTCTTCGATTTTTGCCATCCAGTTATCTACGGAGCGCTCTAATTCTTTCTCCAGGGCATCCTTCATGAGTCTCCATAGATTTTCGATAGGATTGAGGTCACATGAAACCGCTGGCCAGTCGATGACCTCATATCCATTATCACCGAACCATTGTGTTGTTGTCCGTGCTTTGTGGGCACTAGCATTGTCCTGTTGGAAAACAAAGCCGTCGGGATACAGGACATCAATGGTGGCCATATTTTCATCTAGGATGTCCTGGTACTTTTCGGCGGTAATTGTTCCCTTGGACAATGCCAGTGTTGTGGTCCTGCGAAGACTTATGCCACCCCACACCATAATGGCAGGTCCATGTTTGGGGACTGGCCTTTTTGGTCTAGACCGGGCCCATAACTTCACTTTATGACGAAAAAGTTGAAAATAACTTTCGTCAGTGAAGATGACTTTGGTCCAGTCTCTCCCGAGGTTGGACCGACACCATTCCACACGTTTTTGACGGTGTCGATCGGTCATCAACGGGATAGGCTGTGGGAGCCATTTAAGAAGTCCCGACTTTTTTAATGACCTCCAAACTGTCCAGCGAGATACCGGCGGACTACCTCTTCTGGCCATTTCACCCGATATCCAACCAGAGCTGGTCATCGGGTTATTATTGGCCAATTGGGTAGCCCGTCGCTTATCATTAGCTGACAGTTTTGGTAGTCGACCAGAGCCAGGCTTCCGTTCGAACCCTTTACCTTCCCGTAGCCTTTTGACCAATCGGTATACGGTGGTCTTGGGTATTCCTGTGGTCATCATCAAAAACTTCGGGTCATCTTGGCCATTGTTCCACAGGAATTCGAGTGTCCGTCGGGCGTCGAGATTTGTCTTCTTTGGTGCCATTTTCTTGAGGTTTGCCGTCGATGTGGAGAAGTAAACAAACACATGTGGCACACTGTTTTAAAGCTCTTTAATAGGGCTATCTATTTGTTTACTTAAATTATATCTACATTTACACATGTAAATGTTTGGCGCCTATATTTAAAGTTAAACTTTTTCCCACATTTTTTGCACCCATCTTTAATAATTATAGTTATTGTTTTAATCATATATCTTTTAGCTGCATTTCAAGTAAAAAATAATTATAAAAGTTAATTAAAAAATTGATTTTTAATATAAAATACTATTTTTAGCAAATTTTGCTTACAATTTATAGTTAATAAATAACTATTACTTTTACATTGAATACAACTTGTGTTCAATAGTTAAAAAAATCAATAAATAAAAACGAAAAATCAAATATTTAACAAAAATAATTATAAAATAAATACTTAATTATTTCTACATATAATTCATATTTTTAAAAACTAAATGCAATCTAATTATTATCTTTATATATACGAGCGGTTAATATCGTGATTTGTGTCCATTACTGCTAACAAGTCCGGCATAATTACATGACAGTCCTTTTGAATCCCAGAGCAAACCGGGCGCACATTTGTTAACAGTATTTCCCTCTTTATTGTCACATATAATATATTTTGATTCATTGGACGGATGGCTAACCGTTCGTCTAACGGACGAACAGTTTTCATTTCGACACAACTCATCCAAATCTAGACCGTCATCGCTGTCCTCATCTGAGACGGGAATACAAGTAGTGGTCTGTAGTGTAGTAGATGTCGGACCCGAACCGGTAGTGCTTTCAATTGGTGTCTGAGTGGTCGGCGCTTCGCTAGTTGTCTTTGTTGTCGGACTGGAAGCAGCTTCGGTAGTAGTAGTAGACGGCTGTTCAGTAGTCGATGGTTCCTCAGTTGTCGACGACTCTCCAGTAGTCGGTAGTTGTGTTGAAGTAGTAGTAGAAGCTTCGGTAGTACTTTGTACTGGTGTTTGACTGGATGGTTGTCCACTGGTTGGCTCATCTGTTTGCTGTGATGTCGTTGATGGTAATGGTGTTGAACCCTTAGGACAGGTAGAATTTTCTGGATAAACGCATTGTTTGATATTGTCGTTCCACTCGAGATCTGAAGGACACGGCATAACCACTGGACTACCGGTGCCGTCAGGATTGACAGTACACTGAATAAATGAGTTACAGTTGTCTGGATTGGGATACAGACAATCTTTGGGTCCTTTGCATTCGGTTTTCTGGATGTCATCAATGGGACAGACAAACGGTCCCGAAGTTGGTCGCTGTGTCGGAGCCTGAGATGACGGCTCTACAGATGTCTCACTTGTTGGCTCTTCTGTAGACGGCTGTCTACTTGTAGTAGTAGTGGATGGCTGGGCATCGGTAGTGCTCTCTACTGGTGTTTGACTAGAAGATGGTTGTCTAGATGTAGGTTCAACTGTTTGCTGTGATGTCGACTCACTTGTTGATCCATCCGTTGACGGATCAGTGGATTCATCAGTTGTTGGTCGTCCAGTTGTTGCATCGGTAGGCGCTTGTGTTGGTTTAGGTGTTGATGTACGACACGGTGTGTTTGACTCCCAGTCGCACTCTTTTATTGTATCATTATAGACGAGATCTATTGGAGCGCAGGGCATCTCGTAGGCCAGTCCCGCATCATTACACTGTATGAATGAGTGACAATCAGCCGGATTTGGATACAAACAGTCTTTAGGTCCGCGACAACCTGTCCTATCGATGTCCTCCTGTGGACAAACATAACCGGGTATGGGTTGACCTAAATATAATAAATAAAAAATTATTTCAATTAATTTAAAAAATAACTTAATTTTTTAATTAAGTTTAATACTACTTACCATTTCTTGCGCTAACAACAGATATTATAATTGAAAATATAATAAATTTCATATTTTGTTATTTTAAAAAATATAATTAATTTTATATTATAATGAGTAATAATAGTTAATTGAAAAAACAGTTTTATATGTTATTTTATTTAAGTTATAATAATTTATAAATAAATTATTTTTTTACTGAATGATACATTTTAGTTGAAGAATCGTATATATTTATATATACTGTATTTTTTTGTACATTATTTGATAGTTTATATCATTAGAGATTAATTTAAGATAAAATTAAATTATTGTTAGGAATAATTTTAGTTAAAATGAAATATAATAATAGAATCAGGATTTTAATAATTTAATTGTCATAACAAAAATAAATGATATATTTTAAAAAATAAATAAATTACTATTACACATGTATTTGATACTGAAATGTCAAAAATTACAATTATATCATCATTGTATCCGCAAATAGTATATATCATTGATAATTACAGTACATTATATTACATGCAATAAAAATGTACCAAAAAATAAACTCTCTGTCGCCAATAAATTTATTTCAGATAATTTTATTTTAAAACAAAATTAAGTCTAAATTATTATATTAAAAAAATACAATAATATACGTAATTTATAAGTCGAAATATTTCTTGGAAATATTATCAACCAATTAAGTTTTTTTTGAGGTAAATTGTTTAGCACATTATAATTAATTTATGATATACTCTAAGTTTATTTGACATTATTATTTTGATTATAATTTTTATGACTTAAGTTAAATAATTTAAAGGTAAAACACGTGTATAACAATGTATAAAAATAAATTTATTATACTAAAAATACACCTACAATTTACTATGAATAACCTAAAATTAATTAATTATCATTACTATAATTAAAGTATATTACAACTAATATAATTGCAATGCAATAGGGTTTCAGTAAATTGTGATTTGAAAAATTATCATATTACTTAATTAATAATACTTAATTACTTTAATAATAAATTGATCCTGGTATTTCACAGTTAAATGTTTAATGTTTAAATTGATGTAAAAAACATTATTGATTGTAAATATTATTGCAATAATTGTAATTAAATAGGATTACTAAAAAATCTCTATAATATCATAAATTTATCGATAAAACAGTGTCAATCACATTTAATTTGAAGTTCATTAATTTCTAAATGTATTAATACTATAGGCTATTTTTCATTTAAACTTAATAATTTATTTTAAATTTAGTTAATTATTTTTTCAAATATCATTAATTAAAATAATTAATAAATCAAATTGATTATTAGATTTATACTATAGAATAAATTTAATTTTTTAATTTAATGTTAAAAATGTTTTAATTTTATTTATTTTGTCGAAAATAAGTAGATATACATATAATTTTAAAATTTCTAATTTAATTAATAAACATAATATAATTAATATCACATTCAATTAAGATAAATAAATTACTAAAATTAATTAACAACAAATTTAGTTATTAAATAATAACAATTAACTACAATATTATTTACTAATGTGTATTTTATACTATTTTTAATTTTAACAAAAACAATTTAATTGTATTTATTAAAATCATTGCCTAATGACTACTCTAAATGTTTAATACTATGTCTATTAATGTCGAGGACAGGTAGACTGGTTTTTATAATCACACCGTTTTGTATTGTCGTTCCATTCGAGATCTGCCGCACAGGGCATCACCACCGGTGTACCGGTACGTTCATCAGCGTTGACAGTGCACTGTATAAATGTGGTACAGCTTTCAGGATTGGGATACAAACAATCTATTGGTCCCTTGCATTGGGTTCGTGCTATGTCTTCAACTGAACAAACAAACGGTCCTGAAGTTGGCTTTGGAGTTGTTTGGGTGGTTGGCTCTAAAGTAGTTGGAGTTCTAGTAGTCGGAGGTTCTGTAGTCGGGGGTTGAGTGGTCGGAGGTTGAGTGGTCGGGGGTTGAGTGGTCGGGGGTTGAGTGGTCGGAGGTTGAGTTGTCGGGGGTTGAGTGGTCGGAGGTTGAGTGGTAGGGGGTTGAGTAGTCGGAGGTTGAGTGGTCGGGGGTTGAGTGGTCGGAGGTTGAGTGGTCGGGGGTTGAGTAGTCGGAGGTTGAGTAGTTGGCGGTTGTGTAGTCGGGGGTTCAGTAGTTGGAGGTTCAGTAGTCGGGGGTTCAGTAGTTGGAGGTTCAGTAGTCGGGGGTTCAGTAGTCGGGGGTTCAGTAGTTGGAGTCTCAGTAGTTGGAGGTTCAGTAGTCAGGGGTTCAGTTGTAGGAACTCTGGTTGTTCTGGGTTTCGGTGTTGTTGGACGACACGGTGTGTTTGATTCCCAGTCGCACTCTTTAATTGTATCATTATAGACGAGATCTATTGGAGCGCAGGGCATCTCGTAGGCCAGTCCCGCATCATTACACTGTATGAATGAGTGACAATCAGCCGGATTCGGATACAAACAGTCTTTAGGTCCGCGACAACCGGTTCTATCGATGTCCTCCTGTGGACAGACATAACCTGGAAGTGGTTGTCCTACAAATATAATTAACAAAAATTTTTAATTAAATAATATATTTATACTTTAAAAATACTGTATAATTAATTATTTACCATTTCTTGCGCTAACAACAGTAATAATAAGTGAAAATATTAAAAATTTCATTTTTTATTGTTTGATTAATTAAGTTTTAATATTATATATATAAAGTATTTTATATTAGAAAAAATAAAGTTAACAATAAATTTATAAATATATAAGTTAACAATTAACAAATATATATCTATATATTTAGCTAAATTAATAATTAGCTAAACAAAAAGTTTTTTTTTATAAAAACAATTTTTGTTATGTTATTATTATGAATAAAAGTTAGTAGAAACAAGGTCTATTTATATATAATTTACATCATTGTTATAAATCTATTGTAATAATTAAATCATGTCAGCAGTTGTTAAACTATAATCGTTATGTAATTAAAGATTAAAGTATTATTACAAATATTATTATATTAAAGATAACATTGAATTATTGTTAGGAATATTTTTACACAATTTATTTATAATAGTAACCGGATTTTTAATACTTTAATACCTAAATATATTACTTTACTCTATATTTTCATGACTTAACTTATTAACTAATGTTTTAAACTATAAACTTTGCACTCAATCATTATAATTTTTCAATCATATTGTAAAGTAAATCAATGACAATGAATTAGTGATTGTGTATACAATAAAATTTACCTAGATTATTATCTAAAAAATTATATAGATATTTATAATTATAAAATAATATTAATTTTATATTCTAATTTTGTTTATAAATTTTATAAATATATATATATTTATATTATTTTCACATACTTAATGAAATTTATGAAAATACTATAATTTTAAAAACAATATTTATTTTGTTTATTGTATTTTTATTTTTAAAAACTATTATCAATTATTCTGTTATCAGTTTATTTTTACGTATTTTATAACTACAATAATACCAAATATTTTTTTGTGCCAAAAAAATTAATTAATTACATCATACAAACATTTTTTTATAGTATTAGATAAAGTTTTTTATATTTTATAACTTTAACACGTTTTTACAGTATAAGCTATTGTTAATTATAACTATATTATTTGAATGTCCGGTTAGCTACTGTTTATGCTTTAATTATTATTAACAAAAATTATGTTTGAAAATATTTCTAAAAATTAATTGCAATATTTACTGAAATAATTTAATTATAATCTAATTACATATCGTCGCATGTATATAATAATAGATAAAAGTAAAATTAATCCTGGTATTAATATTTTTTTATAAATATATATATATATATATTGCTTGTACGGATTAAATCTGAACAAGGTGCAAATTATATTCTCTAATACTGCTTATAATTATATCAATTTCAATTATTACAGTACAATGCAATAAAGTGATTATTATAAATAAAAAATCAATGTCCTAATAGTAAAATAAAAGTGTCAATCACACATTATTAATCTATATTTTTGAAAATCATCAAGCAGTTAATCATACAATATTTTTTTAAAAATAAACATTAGTAACTTAAAATATCAAGTCTATCGATGTTTTTTTAAATATTAATATAATTTTTTAGATAGTTTTTTTTATAAAGTTTAAAAGACTAAATAAATATTTGCTTATAAAAAATGTTTTATCATTAGTCTAAACATTAACATTGTTTTAATGAATGACTCTGTTATGATATATTATAAATAAAATCTGTTTTTAAAGTTTTAGCTTGTTCATTGATAAAATAAAATAAAATTGTAGTAATTATTTAAAATATTAAATTAACAAGTTAAAATATAAATACAATATTATGAAATAAGCAATTTAATAAATATTTTTTTTAATAATTTAATTATATATATATAATTATATGAGGATTGTATATAACCAGGACATAATATTAATGAGAAACTGTATAATTTATTGTCAGATTAATATATAATTTATTATAGTATACTATACTTACAAAAAAACTATTGCAAAAATAAGTGCAAAGTTTTATAATCTTTACATATAATTTTGATTTATCAAAAAATTATTAAGTTTTTATTTTATTTAAGTCAATATATTATCTATGATTTTAATGATAATAAGTCTCATATATACTGTATATATTTATGACACAACTACAGTCCAATTATGTACAACTAAATTATTTATATCTAATTAAGTATTATAGTATAAAACATTAAAAAAAAACCTAAATGAACTTTATCAACACTACCAAAAAAATAATATAATAAATTAAATAACATCATAATTAGGCAATAAATAAACCATTTTGTATAAATATTATTATTTAGATATTAATACATATTTTACAAAATTAAACAAAAAAATAAATGCTTTATAAATATTAATTTTTTTTTGACTGATTAAAAAAAGATTAGATATAATCATAAATATCTATCGGTGTCTGTTTTCTGGTCCGTTGGGGTTAACAAGACCGGCATAATTGCAAGTCAACAACGATGGGTCAAATAGCAAACCGGGCGAACACTTTCGCACCGTATGGACAGCTCTATTGGTGCTGCCGTTGCACTCGACATATCGCTTCTGACTATTCGGGTTAACAGTCAATCGTTTTTGTTGACAACCAGTGCCGCACAGTTGCGCCAGATTTAGATCAGCGTCGGCTTCTTCGTCGTCATCGTCAACGGGACGACAAGTAGGTAACGGTGTCGATGGTCGCACTGTTGTGAATGGACTCGTAGGTCTGGAACTAGACGACGGCTGAGCACTGGTAGCTGTTGTTTCAGTTATAGGTTTTTTAGTACTAGTAATTGTCGGCACTTCGGTTCTCTCACTGGTTGACGGTTCAGTTGGCTTATCTGTCGGTTTCGAAGTAGTGGTAGTTATAGGCTCTTCAGTCGGTTCCAATGTAGTGGTAGTTATGGGCTCTTCGGTTGGTTCCGATGTAGTGGTAGTTATGGGCTCTTCAGTCGGTTCCGATGTAGTGGTAGTTATGGGCTCTTCGGTTGGTTCCGATGTAGTGGTAGTTATGGGCTCTTCAGTCGGTTCCGAAGTAGTGGTAGTTATGGGCTCTTTGGTTGGTTCATATGTGGTGGTAGTTATGGGCTCTTTGGTTGGTTCAGATGTGGTGGTAGTTATGGGCTCTTCAGTCGGTTCCAAAGTAGTGGTAGTTATGGGCTCTTCAGTCGGTTCCGAAGTAGTGGTAGTTATGGGCTCTTTGGTTGGTTCATATGTGGTGGTAGTTATGGGCTCTTTGGTTGGTTCAGATGTGGTGGTAGTTATAGGCTCTTCAGTCGGTTCCAAAGTAGTGGTAGTTATGGGCTCTTCAGTCGGTTCCGAAGTAGTGGTAGTTATGGGCTTTTTCGTCGGTTCACTAGTGGTCGGCCTATCTGTCGGTTCATATGTAGTTCTTTCGGAAGTTTGATGTGTTGGCTCATAAGTAGTAGTATTGATTGGGTCGTCTGTTGGTGAGTCAGTCGGTGTTTCCGTCTCAGCAGTGGTTGGTCTAGCAGTTGGTGTTGTTGATGGTCTCTGTGTTGTTGATGGTCTGGGTGTAAATCTATCTGGACACGTAGAGAATTGTTTATAATCGCACTCTTTCTTGTTGTTGTTCCACTCGAGATCCGATGGACAGGGCATCACCTCTGGACTACCAGTGCCATCGGCATTGACAGTGCACTGTATGAATGTAATACAGTTATCAGGATTGGGATACAGACAATCTTTCGGTCCTCTGCATTGTGTTTGCTCTATATCTTCGACCGGACAGACAAACGGCGCACCTGTAGGTCTACTTGTCGTCGGACGGCTACTAGTGATAGGTTTTGATGATGAACTGATAGGCTCTTGTGTAGTCTCCTGTGTGGTATCTTGAGTTGTTTCATGTGTTGTGGCCTCAGAAGTACTTCCAGTTGTCGTTTCTTCAGTTGGTTCATGAGTTGGTCTCTGACTCGTTGGCCTTTTAGTAGGTTCTTGAGTTGTGGGCTCTTCTGTTGGGTCTTCAGTAGTAGTAGTCGGCGGCGGCTCTTCGGTTTGTTTATCTGTTGACGGTCTGACACTGCTTTCACTGGTAGTTTCAGTCGGTGTCTCATCAGTTGGCTTATAAGTTGTCGGTTTGCTCGAGGGTTCAGAACTGGTAGACTTTTGTGTTGATTCTTGAGTTGTTTGTTGTGTTGTAGGCTCTCGTGTTGGTTCACGAGTCGGCTCTTTCGTTGGTTCTGGAGTTGTCTCTGGAGTTGTCTCTGGAGTTGTCTCTGGAGTTGTCTCTGGAGTTGTCTCTGGAGTTGTCTCTGGAGTTGTCTCTGGAGTTGTCTCTGGAGTTGTCTCTGGAGTTGTCTCTGGAGTTGTCTCTGGAGTTGTTTCTGGTGTTGTTTCTTCTGTTGAAGGACTGGTAGGTTCACGAGTTGGCTCTCGTGTTGGTTCTGGAGTTGTCTCTTCTGTTGAAGGACTGGTAGGTTCACGAGTTGGCTCTCGTGTTGGTTCTGGAGTTGTCTCTTCTGTTGAAGGACTGGTAGGTTCACGAGTTGGCTTTCGTGTTGGTTCTGGAGTTGTCTCTGGAGTTGTTTCTTCTGTTGAAGGATTGGTGGGTTCACGAGTTGGCTCTCGTGTTGGTTCTGGTGTCGTCTCGGGAGTTGTCTCTGGGGTTGTCTCTGGAGTTGAAGGACTGGTAGGTTCACGAGTTGGCTCTCGTGTTGGTTCTGGAGTTGTCTCTTCAGTTGAAGGACTGGTAGGTTCACGTGTTGGCTCTCGTGTTGCCTCTGATGTTGGTTGTGGTGTTGTTTCTTCAGTTGAAGGGCTGGTAGGTTCACGTGTTGGCTCTCGTGTTGCCTCTGATGTTGGTTGTGGTGTTGTTTCTTCAGTTGAAGGGCTGGTAGGTTCACGTGTTGGCTCTCGTGTTGGTTCACTGGTTGGTTGTGGAGTACTTTTTTCAGTTGAAGCACTGGTAGGTTCTCGTGTTGGTTCAGGTGTTGTTTCTTGACTTGTTTTGTCTGTAGATGTTTGTGTAGAAACACTTGTAGGCTCTTGAGTTGAACTAAACTCTGTTAGATTTTGGGTTGAGCTCTGTGTTGATCCATGAGTTGATTGAGAGGTCGGTACACGTGTGGGCTCTTGTGTTGAACTCTGGGTCGGCTCTGGAGTTGTTGGTCTTTGTGTAGTTGTATTTGTTGTTGGACTACTTGTTGTTGTGGACGATGGAGGGAAAGTATAGGCTGGTATACATGTCTGATCCGATGGCCAGTCGCATACTTTGATAAAATCATTGAACTCAAGATTTGCCGGACAGTACTTAAGGTACGGCCGCTTATCTTGAGTACAGTGCCAGAAGGTGTTGCAATTGTCCGGATTGGGATACAAACACTGTGTTATCGTACAGTCATCACTGGGAGGACATACAAAATTATATACCGGTCCGGCTGTTATATAATATTAATATATATATATATATAATATTTAATAAATTAATTTGATTTAATATTTGTTTGTACAAACCTGTCACTAAAGCCCCCGAACCAATTAAAAATATTAATAGATTAATCATTTATGTATTAATTTTATATAATTTTTTATTTTTAATTAAAATTACTTCATTAGTTATGTTAAATGTTTTAACTGTTTAAATAATAATTATTATTTTTTAATATAAAACAGCTTTATTTATATGTAAATCTTTACCATGATAACTTTCATTAATATAATGCAATAATAGTTAATTATCACAAAAAATGCTAGCTTTTGCTAATTTTATAATACATTGTATACAATAAATTAACTTTAAATCACAATAATAATAAATTATGGTATTTATTAAATTATTAGATAAATAATTTCCATGTATGAACTTATTTTTATTTTTTTCTCAGTAAATATCATATATTTTAATTGTTATTATCATCAAATATATGCATCACATTTGATGTATAAAGTTATATACCTATATATATTTATTTATATATATATAATACAGTATTATATATAGCTATATCACTACTGTACTAGTGATAACTTGTTTTGATGTTTGTATTAATTTAATTTAAAACAAACATTTTTATGACACACACACAGAATATTTTATAGACTATTAGATTATTATTGTTAATAATAATAATAAACTTGAAATAAATGAATTAAATGCAGACAAAAAATCATTTACCTGTATATTTGATATTTGACTAAAAAGTTTATTTACCGACCCTTAGAAACAATAAAATATAATTTTATTTAAATAAAAATATAGATTTAAAATTATATTTGTGTTATTATAAATATTTCTATGTATAGAAAAATATTTAAATACTTTTTATTTATTTTTTTAATTAATAGTAATAAATTTATTTATTATAATAATTATTTTATTAGAGTTATAAATGTTTGCAACAATTGAAATGAAACCACTTGTATGCGGATCTACACTAATGTCATCAAATTAATGTTATTTTTATTTATCAAATAAGTTAATTAATATATAATTTTATATTTTTATAAAATAAAATTTAAATGTATTTTTAATTACTACTTTTTGAATTGACTTTATTTTTACACCTATAAGTTATAGGCTATAACACGTGCAGTGATACTATAAAATTTTATTAAGAAACAAAACAAAAACTATAATTTTAAATTAAATTTTACATTTATAAATAAATAGATTTTTTAAAAATTTTTATAGTAAATCAAAAAATCAGCAGTTCATTAAAAATAAAATAAAAATAAATAATTATTATTTTAACTTCAAAAATTGAAAATTGAATAAAAATATTAATTTTATCAATTTAGTATAAACTAATAAACATTATTAGCATAAAATAAAATTTTTATATATTACATTATATATATTATATATAATCATAAAAATTAATAATTTTGAAAACTTAAAATTTTAAAATTAAGATTTAAATATTTATTTAAAGATATCTTAAGTTACTTTATTTTATTAAAATTTAAAAAAATCTTACTGCAAAGACTAAGTTATATAATCAAACATAAAAACATATATATATACTATTAAATATCAAATTATATTACAATTTTTTTTATTTTTGAATTATTAATAAAATATTATTTATATTTAATATATCAATTCATAATAAGCTACTAAAAATTGGTCATTTATTTCAATAACTGAGAATTTATTTTAATAAATTAATAATGTTTAATTTACAAATTATAATATTAAATAAAAATAATAACATTTTATAAATTAAATTTTAATTAAAAATACCTAAACTATAAAAATAAATATAACTTTTTTATTATTATTTCCAATAAAAACTATCTGTTGTGGTCTCCGGTGACAATGTAGTGGTTATGGGATCATCTGTCGGGTCCGGCGTTGTTGTTGTTGTTACCGTAATCGGTTCATCAGTAACTTCTGTAGTCGGTTGTACTGTAGTAGTGGTAGTAGTAGTAGTAGTAGTCGTAGGTTTAGGGTTGGCCTCAACACATGTCAACTCCGACGGCCAGTCGCATACTTTGAAATAGTCGTTAAACTCGAGCAACGGTAGACAATGTTTGAGCACAGCTACCTTATCGGCTCCGCAGTGCCAAAATGTTGAACAGTCGTCTTTATTCAGATACATACATAAGCTATCGCTACAGTCGTCATCGGCCGGACAGGTAAAGTTTGATTGCAATGGTAAGGCTATTATATATATAAAAAAATTAAATTGCGATTTAAAAAAAATATTTAATAAGATTATTATTATTTAGTTTATTAATTTAAAATATTTAGAATAATTTATTATAAATTACCTTGAACAATTGAAAATATCAGGCATAAAAATGTACATAAATATTTTATATTATTCATAATTTATTTATTTTTTCTTTATAAATATTTAACTAATTAAAACAACAATTTTAATTTATAGTAAAAATTAAAATTTCAAAATAAATTTTTATTCAATATGTTTCAAAATTTATTTAAATAGTTTTTAATTAATAATTATTATATAACAAAATTAATTACTAAACTGATCTCTTTATATACTAAAAACATTTATGTACTAGCAGAAAAATGTAATTGTATTTAATGACCCTTGTCATATGATTGTAAATATTGCAAATATTAAACTATAAATAGTGTAATAAATAATTATTAAAATCAAGATTTATGTTATAACATAATGACACAATAAAACAATAAAAAAATATTACGTATATATAGAAATTCATAAGGATTTATTATATGGTTTATTTTATTTCAAATATAATACATTAATTACAATTTATTAATGATTTATCTGGATTTAATTAAACTAATAAAAAAATCTAATTCTAAATAACATAAAGTATTAGAATAATAATAATACTAACAATTAAAATACTATTAGACATAGTAAAATATTTTCCTAAATTAAAATTAACATATATTTTACTATTATAATAAGATAAAATCTAATTGCATTACTGTCCAATTAAATTGAGTAATTATATTAAATTGTAGCTATTGTTAATATTGTAAATGATATATATTGCATCATAAATAAGTATGTTTTGAAAATCAGCAAGTACATAATCAAAAGTTTTAACAATTTATATCATACAGTATAATATACATGTATATTCAAAAAATGTAGTAGTATTATAGTATAAAGTATATTATACAATAAAATTGTTTTTATTATTAAATTTAAGTCTATAATTACAGTGCTGTAATAATTTTAGCTTAATGTAAAACACTATATAAAACAGTTTTATTTAAAAATTTATTTTTTATATTTTAGATATTTTCATAAAAAATAATGTTTTATATAAATAATTTTTAATTAATCAAGATTTTATAGTAAAATATTTTAAGAACAATATTTAAAAATTAAGAAATAATAATATTAAATAATAATTTTTATATAGACCTTTTAAATATTGATTATTAAAATGAAAATTTCTCTATAAAAAAACTAATTAAGAAAGAAAGARAGAGAGAGAGAGAGAGAGAGAGAGAGAGAGAGAGAGAGAGAGAGAGAGAGAGAGAGAGAGAGAGAGAGAGAAGAGAGAGAGAGAGAGAGAGAGAAAGAGAGAGAGAGAAAGAGAGAGAGAGAAAGAGAGAGAGAGAGAGTACAAAAATACAAATATATAGTACATTAAATGTATACTAAATGTACTAAACATAAGCAGATGTAAAAAATAATGTAAATGCATATCAAGTAAATGTATTGTAATTTTTTTGTTTATTTACAAAAATAGTAAACTTATAGAAATGAATGTATTTTAAATTAAGTACAGTATAACATAGTATAATAATACAATCATTATTAGGTATCGTTTTATTTTACATTTTTATTTTTTACAGTTTGGGCGCTTAAAATTTGAAACATTATGATTGTGGTATTAACTTTCACTTTACTATTGGTTACAACAATATAATTATAATAAACATTAATTTATAAATGTTTAACATTTATTTCTAAAACTTATAATAACAACAAAAACTATTTAATAAATAAGAAATTAATTTAATAAATATTTTTCAAAAATTTTTAAATATTAAATATATATATTTTTTAATTTTTAAACATAAACTTTCAAGTTTTAATATAATATTATTCAACATATTCTTGTTATACATAATTAATAATTTTTTTAAAAATATTTGATAGAAATAACTTTTAAGTTATAAAATATAATGATTTTTTTCTTAATAATAAACATAAATTTTCTAGATTTTTATATTATGGACTAATATTATATTGAAAATTATTGATGTAATCTGTTTGTTATATCGCACAGATAAGCGGGAATTCATGCCATCCTATAGTAGCTCTGAGTGTCGACAGGTTGACCGCTCCGGACGATCGCACAGTTTATCTCTATTGTTCCATTTGAGACCCGCCGGACACGGCATTACCACTGGTCTACCGGTGCGACCGTCAGCGTTGACTAAACACTGAATGAATGTATTACAGTTAAGCCAATTAGTGTACAGACAGTCTTTAGGTCCCAAACAATGGGTGGCAATAATGTCTTTAGTGGGACATCTAAATTGACGACAAGTTGACGATTCGGGCCAATCGCATATTTTCTGGTTATTGTTCCACTCGAGTCCATTAGGACAGTCCTTAACTTGGGGTCGGGCACTCTTTCTATCCTTATTGATCTCACAGTGTATAAACTGATCGCACCGGTATGGGTGCGGATATAGACAATCCTGTGGACCCATACATTGTGTATGAATGATGTCTTTTCGCGGACACTTGAAGTTTAAGCCATAGACTAAAGTTATTATTTGATGAAAAAACAATATTTTTAGTAATTATTAAGTAAAAATATAAGTAAAATATAATAATGTAATATAAAATTTATATTAAAACAATATAATTTACCTGTAGTTTGACAGTAAAATATTATAGAAACTAATATGATAGACAACTTATACATTTTTTTTAATAACAATTAATATACACTAGTTTTCTAAATAATAAAAACAACAAAACAAAAGACTAATTGTATAATAAAAATATTTTTTGTTTGCCTTTTTATATACTTTTAGTAATTTATATCATATTATACTTTAACATATTATGCATATACCGGTAAATATATACTTGAATATATTTAAACTTACTGTTAAAAATCAATAATGCATTTATTAGTATTATTATTACTATTTTAATGTGCAATTTAATTACGTGATTTGATAGCCAATTTTTTATATTTGATTGATCTTGGTATTTGCATCGAAACAGGAATTATCCAGTATATTATTTATATTATATTATAGTAGAAAATATTGATTAAAAAAATCATTGCCAATAAACGATAATAATAAGGGATTAATATATCAATCAAACAGAATTGTTTAATATAAAATTTTTAAAAGTAAATTTCAGTAAAATTAATTAATTAATTAATAGATAAATAGATTTTAATAAATTAGCTTAAATGACGTTAATAAATAAATTAGATAAGTCACTTATAAATAATTCAATAACTTTTTAAAATTATATAAATTAAAAATGTTTTCAATTATTATATAATTGCAAACAGTAGCAAAATTTATTCAATTAGAGATTAATAATAATTATTAATTAAATACAATAGATAACATTAAATTATTGTTGCACTACTAATATAGTAATTGTATATTTTATTAAAGTAGTCAGTGATACAGTTGCTGAATGTGCAGTATTATACAAAAATTAGATAAATGTGATTGGTGAAATGGGTTAAAGTCTAAACTGTCTTTTAATAATGTAGTTTACAGGTCTGACTTAATCAAATAAGTGGTTATTTAAAAATAATGTAAAAAGTGTGAAATGATAATTAATTGTTAAAAATACAGATATCTATAGATTTTCTATATTGTTATACTTTATATTAAATCAAAGGACTTTTTTAAAATCATAATTAAAATATTTTTGTTATCAATAGATATAGAAAAACATTTCAAAAAATTAATAAATAAATCAAAAGCAAAATATCTTATAATTTTTATATTATAATTTTAACTAATTTGATATCATATAAAATACGATTGTTTATTATTTTGCTTTAATTTTTATTTACTAAAGTTTTACATTCTTTAGATTTTCTTATTAATTACAGTACATTTAGATTAATAAAATTAGTTTTTAAAAATTATTATTAATAATCACTAATATAATCCTTTATTATTTAAATGTATTAAATATTTAATAATAAAATATTTACACATCTGTTTAATAATATAAATTACAATCAAATAATTAAGTAAATAAAATTTACATCCAAATAGCATAATTTATTTTATATGCTGTTATTTTTTTAATTTATATTATACTTATATTAAAAAATCAACATTCAATTAGTTTATATTTAATTATTGGTATGTTTTAGGTTAAATTAAAGCATTTTTAGTTGAATTGGATTTTATTTCATATAATAATATAATTTAAGAAATAAAAATAAATGCTTAAAAATAAATTTGAATGTAAATTTAATAAATCTAACTTTTTTAGACAAACTCCACATATATTATTAATTTATTAAATTTTATAAATATACTAATGAATAGTTTATATTTTGTATATATTACACATTTTTTAATTAAATGACATTAAATAACAGTAACAAATACATGAATATAAATTTTAAAAATAAATTTATATATTCAACAATATGATAAACCCATATAAACAATGATAATGTCTGTTTGCAAAATACAACTTAAGTTATGTATGATTCAGTATAAACTTTAAGTAACAAATAATACAAAAATTTAGTTAAAAAATAAAAGTTTTACAGTTTATTTGTTTGCATTATATAAATATAGACATAATATTTAGATATAACATATAAATTTAATAGTTTTTTCCGACAACAAATAACTTTAATTGTATTTTAATATCTATATAATTAATATGGTAATATTGTTAGAAAATTTTTAAAAATATATATATTTGCATTAGACAATTTTGAAGACAATAATTATATATTATAATCTATAACATGATTTTAATTGGAGTATCTTTAAATAGTTTGACATTTTTGAAGAAATTATATCTAAAAAAATTAAAAGTCAAATTTGATTCAGTTTATTATAATTAATAATTAATATTTATTTTAATTATCATCCATCATATTAAACTTAAATTTATTTTTGATTTAGTTATTTATATTTATTATAACTTAACTAATTATTAGACCATTTGTTTGTCGATTGATATCAATAATTATATGATAAGTTTGTTAATTTGTTAGTCAAAATTTTAAAAAAATTAAGTATTAGATTGAGTTATTAATATTTATTATAATTTATTATTAGTAGTATTAATAGTGACATAATATTTATTACTATAATTAATAGCTTATATTTGTATTACTATTGTATATTTTTTTGGTGATTAATCATAAACCACACTTTTGACAGTTGTTTGATTATAAGTTAATTTTATCAATTTGTTTAAATTGATTGATTATATAAAAAAAATTATATTTTTTATCAAATGGTATTGAAAATACAAAATAAATTGCTTATATTTTTTGATTGTAAATTTCAAAATATTAAGCGTTTTTCATTGTTTTTTTTGTTGCTATCGACTGTACAACAGTTCCCGTACACCACCGATAGCCGGATCTGTTCAGCCTTATGTTGCCGAAGCCCCCCCCCCAATGTCCAACTTTGCTGACTATCTTAGATTTCCCGGTTGATATCACCCCTCCTCCCCCACTTTTTTTTTAATTCTCTTTTTAATATAACTTTAATAACTAATTAATACCAAAATTATACGATAGTTAATGCAAATAATAAATACCTGAAATTCTTGAGCACACAAACATGAATTGATTTTTTTTAGGAACTATATGTATAATTATTATTGATTTGAAATAATTATTTTTTTGATTATTTTTTTTAATTATAAATAATAATTAAAAATGAAAACTTTTTTATTCTGATTTAATAGCACTTATTAATAATATTAAATTATGATTTAAAATAAAGTTTGTCTATTTATTTTTTTATAATATAAGCATTTAGTTTAATTATATGTTTGTGTAAATCCAACAACAATTAAATATTAATTAGAAGTAAATTTGAAATTTTTATTATTATTTTAATTTTTAATATTAGTAGAAATTTATTTTGCATAACTACCTAAATATCTAAATCAAATTTGACAGTTAGACAGCTATATTTAACTTTATATTTGATTTAGTAGTATATATGATATTAACAATTATCTATTTCAAGAAAAATTATATAAAGTAACTAAACTATTGTTTAGTTTTTTCTTATTTCGTAATAACATTATTATTATAAAATATTATTATTATGAAAATATAACCATGCTAATAAATCAATATTGGTTATTAATATATAATAATTTAAATACGGGACAAATGTTTAGACTACTGGCAAATAAATTGATAGGCAATAAAATTTATGATAGTTTAGACAATATTTTTATGCAATATATTGATAATTGTAGATTTTTTTTATCTAGTTAGGTTATAAATTATTATAAATGTTAATTTTTAAAATAATATTGCATTCGTGCGATTAATTTTTTAGTAATAAACATTATTACGTTATCGGACAATTGAAATATTTATTAGTTAAATCCCATTTATCTGTGTTAAATCTAATTAATTTATTATAGCCGGGTAATTTTGAATACAATTTACATTTATATAATATATTTGCAAAAAAAACTCATATCATAAAACTTCTTATTGAAAAAATTTGGATAATAAAGTTAGTATTATTATTATTATTAAAATATAATCCATAAATTGGTAGATAAAATATGATTGTGTGATGAAATTTTACTAAAATATTGATATATAAGCAGGCTAAAATTTGTTTTCAATAAGTCATTCAACAGGCAATTATTTAGTAGAAAAAAAGTAGAAATAAATTGTTTTTTGAAAAAATTATATATATTTAATATATATATATATCTTATATATAAAACAATGAATTCTTTAATTTACGGATCAGTGTTTGTGCTAATCATTGGCCAAACTGTCGCAAGTATAGCAAAATAATAATGAAAAACTATACAAAAAAAGTCAAATATAATTTTAATAAAACTTATTTATATTTAACTTTTTTCCTAATATAGACTATCCCTGGCCAATTATACCAGGCTATCCCTGTCCCAAGGATGAAATTGAAAATACCAAGTGTTTGGGTGCATACGACTGTCTCTATCCAAACCCGCGAAACTGTAACCGATTTATACAGTGCAATGACGCCGGTCTTGCCTACGATATGCCCTGTGCTGCTAATCTGCACTTTAATGAGGCTACTCGTCGATGCGATTATCCTGAAAATGCCAACTGTGTAGTTGTGACGCCAACAACAACTACTACTACAACTACAACGACTCCAATACCGACCACTGAACCGACAACACCGGAGCCGACAACACCGGAGCCGACAACACCGGAGCCAACCACTCCGCCAACTGATCCAACGAAAGGCACTGATGGCCAATGTTATTGGGTGTGTCCGTCAACAACTACACCCAAACCACCGCCGCGTCCATTCCGATGTCCGCCACGCGATATAATTAACACAAAATGTTTGGGACCTAAAGACTGTTTGTACACCAATTGGAGTAACTGTAATACATTCATACAGTGCACTGTCAATCCTGGAGGCCGTACCGGCACACCAGTAGTCATGCCGTGTTCTAAAGGTCTCAAATGGAATAATAGAGATAAGGTATGCGATTATCCTAATCGGGCCACTTGTCGACACAACTGAGCCCAATAAGACAAACCATATTTTTGTGATAATAGGACTTACCGATAATTATAATATATTTTGCATATAAAAAATTATAAAATGTTTTGTTGAAAATAGTTTTATTTGTTTTTATAATATAATTATATATCATATATAATATACTATATATATATATGTAAACAAAAATTTTTAATAATATAAAATAAATGTAGATTTAGAAAAATAATAAATATAATTTTTTTTTATTACAATCAATGAGTTTATATTATACTATATATACCCTCATTTTGTTTGCTATTAACTAACACTTAATTTACATAAATAAGGCATTTAATTTTTATTCAGGTTTTTAAAAATCAATTAAAATTAATAAAATACTAAATTACTGTTTTTGTTTAACTATATTTTGGATACTTTTCATTAAATTGCAGTTTATTATAATACTGTAATAATATTATTGTAAATTATTCAGCATTAATTAGTAGCTTAAAAACACAATTACTGATTATGAATTTTTTAAAAAATATATAACTAATTTTCTGATTATTCATATCTTAATTAATATAATTTTATCTATACAATCATTATTGTAGATATCAAAGATATATTAATTTATATAGCATTAAAAATATCAAAGTTAATAAAATACATTAATATAAATTTTAAAAAATTTGTATAAAAATTAAAATAAAAACATTATAAATATTACACTTATGTGTATATATATACTATATATTATACTAAATTATATATCACATTTGCTAATATCTAGTCTCAATGGCTTAAATATGTTAGCATATAATTAGCAATATAAACCCAAAATTGAAATACAACACATTGAAATAAATTAATAAACAATTTTAATTAAACTAAACTTAAATTAATTAAATAACAAAAGTTAAGTTAAGATATATGATTTATTTGTTGTTATTTTCAATATCGTTGTATAATAATAAACACTTAATAGATCCTAAAGTGAACAATGTATGTAAATCTCAGTTTATGTTTTAACATAAGTCGTAAATTTATAACAATAATAAAAAACGGTTAAAATATAATTTTATAATAAAAATTACTTTACGGCAATATCTATGACCAAATTGACGCCGAATGTAAGGGAACGGGATTTAAGTTGATGTGGGAACGGGAGATGAAATGGCATAATTGAATTGTATTAATTGTATGATTATATATTTTATTTTTACAATAAAATATAGAGTTTAACAATTTTAGTTTCGATAATTTAACATTATATTATAACAATTTATTTTTATAACATAATAGTAACAAATAATTTTAGATATTTTTTATAAAGTAGTATAATGTCCAATAAATAAGTAATAGTAATATTTAATATTAATTCATTTTCATTTATTTGACAAACTGCTAAAATAAGTATATTTTAACATTTTATTTAACATAAAGTTTATTTAATTAAGAAAAAATAGTTAACATAATTAACAATAATTATTTATTAACTAAATTTTCTAGAATTTTTGGTAACATTTTTAAACTGTTTTCTTTTATAATTCTTTGCGATATTTTTCTCATTTTTTTGGCCAACAAATTATCATTCAATAGACTTTCAATAACTTTTAGTAACTTTTCTTCAGAGCACTTGTAGGCATCGAGTCGTATACCAAACCCTTTTTCATGGACTCTCTGTGCGTTATCGAACTGATCGCCAAACAGTGGCATAACTATCATAGGCTTTCCAAAGTAAAAACATTCAGTAATAGTATTGTTTCCGCCGTGAGTTATAACCAAATCAACTAATGGCAAGACTTGTGTTTGCGGTACACTTGGCTGACCCCACATATTGTCCGACAGATCGTACTCATCACCTAACGGTCCCTTTGATACTATGAAAACGTTCTGAGATTTTTCTAATATAGCAATCAATCGTTTCATATTATTGACATCAACCGCACCCACTGATCCCATTGAAAAGTAAATAACTTTTCCCTGTTTGCCACTCAATTGTATCGGCAATTCAAACGGTTCACTTAAGTCTTGTCTCATAAAGTTATCAAAACGATACCAATTGTCAGGAAGTGGTTTTATATCGTTATAATCCAATTCAAGTGGAAAATCATAGATATTTAGATATTTTGATTTTTCAATTAAGTTTGAATAAAGTTGTAATTCAGTTCCCGGCTGTAAATTTGTTATTACATTTTGTATAAAGTCTATCTTAATTTGTAACCATTTTTTCTTATGACCGTCTATTGGCAAACCTTAAAAAATAATTTTACTTAAAAATTTTTAAAAACTAAATTTAAATAATTATATATTTATATATATATATACCTAAACAGTGTGGTGGTAAGCAATCATCATTTAAAAGTATCAATGGATTACAACTGCAAACTCTAACCCATGGTATTCCCGACTTTACTATTGCCGGTATTGAAATAAGTTGGTCGCACAGTATGACATCCGGATCCACTATACATATGGCCCGATTGACATTCATATCCAATACATTTCCATCGTTTAGCAATTTTTTAAAAGCATTTTTCACATAAATTACTTGCTTTTGAAATGGTGTTAATTTATCACCAATAATACCCAATTGTAATTTACTCAATGCATCTTCATAGATTGTTTTCATAGTACCAACTTGTTTATAGTGGTTATTTCCATTGTTACCCATCGACAATGGGCATATTTGAATACCATACTGACCCATTGTATCGGTCCACTGGTCACTGATAGCAAACCAACATTCATGTCCAGCTTTAATCAATACTTGTGCCATACCTATAGCTGCATTGACATGACCCATTAGATCAATTGGTATAAACAATATTTTTAATTTTTGATCCATTTATTTTTATTTTATTAAAATCTTAGAATCAAATAGAAAATTATAATAAAATTTACTAAAATCTTTAACTAAACAATTGTTATTAAAAATGATTTTTTTTGAAAAATTGTTTTACTAATCAATAATAATAAAATAGATTATTTAAAAAAATCATAATCTAATATAACTTTATTGTATTTGCCAATCATATAATTTAAGACAAGTCACTTCAAATTATTTGAAATCCCACCCAATCTATTAATTGTTTACTCATAGACTGTTTAGTTTATTACATGAACATGTTTAATTAACTAACAAAAAGTGACTAGATATTTTTTATATTAAGTTTGTGGAAATTTTTTTTATAATAATAATTCAAAAAAAATCAAAAATAAAAAAAACAATTTTTTTAAATTAGTCATTTATTTATTTTTTTGATTATATTATTATTACATAAATATTTAATAATATGTAAATCATGGCCAGAAAAATTTGAAAGTTTATTACATTTTTTTATTTTCATAAATTTAATTTTTCTTAACATTGTTTAACATAAGCTTATTTTGATCAAACATAAATAAATCGTTTTAAATATGTTAACTTGTTGATTAAAAATTTAATTTGTTTATTATGATAATGTTGACTAAATAAGCTATCAATTAATATATACACGTATATAATACTTAGAGATGGGCAAATAAAAAGTTTCTAATAAATCTATAGAAATTTAACTGTAATGGGATCCCCATATCTATAGATATTGTAATACTATATTAATGAGACTTAATACTATACATATATTATACAAAACGGGATACATATATAAAAAATGATTATAATTATTTAATACTAAACAGTTTTATAAAATTTTATTCATAATTCTAATAAACAGTATATATATCTTAGCTTAATATAATTATATAAATAAATTTTTACTTTAATTAATAATTAAAATACGAATACTTATATTTAATTATTACTTGTATTATTATTAATTATTAATTACTTGTAAAAGTAAGTTAACAAATATCGAGAAAACAAAATTAACATGGGGATCCCATAAATAGAAATTTCTTCTAGAAACTTTCTAGAAATTTCCCTATTATTTTATAAATTTCTCTTTTTTGCCAACACTAATAATACTTCATATTGTATCATAAGTTAATTTCAGTTATTTATATTTATAATTTAGTTAAATATTTTCAAAATCATAATAGTATTTGACATTTAAGATTATTATTAGATAAGTTAACTATTCCAGTATAAGTTTAATTGTGAATTATATATTAATAAGTAATGGTTGATTTTATTTATTTTGGATCATTAGTGACAATAGTTAGTATTGTTAAATATTATAAAATTATTAATATGCTTGTTTAATTTTATTTTCTTATTTTAAGTAAATTTTAGTATTATAAATTTTACTAAATATTGACCATAGGTTACTAGTGGGGCAAATAAATAAAATTAATCATTACATATTAATATTTTATTTATAATTAATCTTATATAATTAATTTACTTAATAATAATCTAAAGTAACAAATACTATTATTAAAACTGAATTATAAGATTAAATAAGATTAAATTATGATATAAATTAAAAAAAACAGTAAAAATTACATTTTTTAAAATTCATATTGTTCCGACAAAAACGACTATTTTATGTTTGAATTTTTTTTTGTTATAATATTATTTAAAAAATAAAAACTATGCCAATAAATAATCACAAATCATTTGGAGGACTCTAAACTACTAACATCTAAATTACAAAACCTAATTTGCAGAAACAAAGCTTAAATTTTAATCTATATTTTTAATTAAAATAATGATACATTATCATTTATTATTTTTATTAGTAAAAAACATAATAAAATATATGATATTATTTTATATCTAACTAAAAATTATATTATTATTATTTGTTCTCTAACTCAAATTTGTTTTCTCTAACTGATAGTTATTTTATTTATTTAATTAAATAGCAGTTTATTTAGCAATAATTAGTAGTTTAAAATGTTTTACAACACAATTACTGAAAATGAGATTTTAGTTTAAAAATTAAGTGTCATTTTTACGTCTTAATATTGTTATACATGTACTAACATTGCAATAGATATTATAGGTTTATTTATTTAATTATTACACTTACCGATATATATATATGTATATTATCAGGGCTAAGTAAGGGGGTAGGGGTAAGGCCAAAATACCCCCCTAAGATCGAGATTTTGGGATTTTACCCCCCAGACTTTTTGACCAAAAGGAAAAAATTGTCGCTTAAAAACGAGGAGAAATGACCCCCCCCCTAAAATTTCGGCGTCGAAATTTTTTTAGTTTTTAAAAATTTAAATTTTAATTAAAACTATTTTAATGTGTTTTTATGTTTTTAAAATTTATATGAATCTAATTATTGATTAAAAATAAATAAAAAATGTTAAAATAACATTAAAACTCATCTAAAAATAACAAAATTTTTATTAAAATATTAAACTAAAAAATTAAAAATTACTTATTTGTTGAAAAAAATAATCATATTACAACTTAAATAGATGTTTAAGATAGTTTTAAAAAATAAAACAATAAATACTTATATTCAAGGTTTTTATTAATAATTTTTAAAATTTTAACTAAAAAATTAAAAAAAATTTCAATTTTATAATTAATATTCAGTCAGTATTTATATGAAAATAACATTAAAAAATAAAAATATATATCTATAAACTAAACATTAAGTATTATTTAAAAAAATTTATTATTTTAAAAGTTAAAAATTACTAAAATACTAAAAAACTCAGTGTATTATTAATGCTTTTATCAAATATTTTTAATATTAAATACATTATTTTATTTTTTTGTTAAAATTTAAGTTTTTGTTAATTTTTAAGTTTTTTTTGTATTTTAGGAAATTTTACCTATTTTCTTGGGAATTTATACGGGAACTTTATCGAATTTACATGGGAATATTCGGGAATTTAAAAGAATATTAGGGTATTTTCTCTTGACCCCCCCTTGATTTTGGATTTAAAAAAAATTGCCGTTTAAAAATGCAAAAAAAATCTTACCCCACCCAATATTGTGAAAATCCCCCCCCCCCCCAAGATTTTTCGAGAATTTTGTAAATTTTACCCCGGTCTACCCCCCTAAAATCCAAAACCTTGCTTAACCCTGGTATATTATATATATCACATTAGATGATGTGGCCTCAATGACTTACAAATTATAGACTGAATGTTAATGTTAACCATAAATACACCGAATGTATTACTAAATAATAATTATCACGAAAAAAATTATCACAATTATCAATAGCACAGTAAAAAAAACTATAGACAAAAGTCTTTCGAAATTTTTTTCATTTGAAGCCTCTATACCCCTTCCCCTAAACAAGTAAGCCTTACTTAACATTGATATACTGTATATATACTGTATATATATATATTTGTATTAAAATAATTATTATTTATTATAAAATTATAATAATTTAGCTAAAATATTTACAATGGATTTCAATGAATTAATCGATAAGTATGAGAAAGATAATAACATCGAAGACTTTTTATTAAGTGTTGAAAAATCAAAATCACTAAAATTGGATAATAGATATCGACTTCTAGTATCAGGTTATAGAAGCGGAAGTAATTGGTTTATATATATTATACAATTGATATTATCGGAAGCCATGAATACATCACCGGTAGACGACGAAGATTTTTTGATTAATAATTTTGAAATCGGATCATTGGATAGGACTAGAAAAATGTTTTTCAAAAATAATTTAACAACCGATGAGATCAATGAAAAGACAAACAACAATAACAAAGACAATGGTATTATATTATTGAAGCAAAATATGATTGATTTTCAAATACAATCGAAAGCAAACTATATGTTATTATTGAGAAATCCTAAAGACGTGTTTAACTCGACTTTCAAAGCCATTATCAAAAGATTGCAAACAAAGCACCCGGAAGTCAATATCGGTAGTCCTCAACATTATCAGGAATTTCTCGACTATTGGCTATCGGATCGCTTGCATAAACGTCACGACTATTTCTCATTTGTCAACTATTATTGGAAATATAGGTCGGAATCAAATTTTCAGATTATTTTATACGAAGATATGATTCGAGAGCCGCGAAAAGCCATTGAAACAATTGCACAGTTTTTGGGCGATGAATATCGTAAACGTTTGTCGGATGTAATGAATGACAATATCGAAAGCACTGGTAGTAGTGAAACACTATTGGATCGCATCGAAAGGTTGGCCTCTATTGATGCAATGAAACCTATATTCGACAGACAAGACAATTGGCGGATCAGAAAAGGTATTAACGAAGACTGGAGATCACATATGACTAAAGAACAAAGCGATGCCATCGACAGAAAAATTGCCACCGAATGGAAGGGAACGGGAATTGAGTTGTTGTGGGAACGGGAGATGAAATGGTAAAAGTATTAATTGTATGATTATATATATTTTATTCATACAATACAATCTAGAGTTTACTGTTTTTTAATTTTGATAATTTAATTGTAATAATTAATTTTGTTTTTAATTATTTTTTTTAATTGTTATAAATATTTTCATGTCATACATTCAATTTTATGTTATGTTTATTTTTTTACAACTATAATAAAAAATAGCTTTGTATTATTAAAAAATAATTATAGATATTTTTTAATAATATACTGTATAATAAATGTAAGTAATAAACAAATGTTTAAAAAATTTAGAGATTTAATTGATTTAATAATTGGTTTTTTATGTTTACATAATTTTTTTAGTAAATATTACTTGTTTTATATTTCTATTTTAATTATACACTTTTATAAAAGCATTTATGGCTTTTATTATATTTGGGTATTGCCAGGCCATGAATTTATTATTTTTAAAAACCCTATATATGGGTGTAGTTGTGTAGTGGTGTAGTGTTGGATTTATGCAATTATCATAGAGAGAGAGAGAGAGAGAGAGAGAGAGAGAGAGAGAGAGAGAGAGAGAGAGAGAGAGAGAGAGAGAGAGAGAGAGAGTACTATTATTACAATATATTGCAATATAATATTAAAAATTTTATTTTTCTAACTAAACTAATGAATCACTTATTATTTGTTTAGAAATAATCAAAAATCAAATATTTTTTACTAATCATTTAATTTTGAAATTTGTTTTTTTGAACTAAAAATAAGATTAATACTCAATTCATGATTACCTATCAATTAAACTTGAATTTAACTTAACATAAAAATTTTAAAACAATATAATTTAGTTTTATATCTTTAATAAAATATTTTTTATCCAAAATGGTGTTTTCAAAAATAATAAGACAAATAATAAAACAATTGTTGGCAATAAATACCCGGACTGTCAATATATCTGTCGGTGCGGTTGGTATGGCGACTACAAGTCATCAATCGTTGTATAATACAGCGTCCGGCATAAAGAGCGCACGTAAATAAAAATTAATATCTCGAAAACTACAAATGATAAAAATCTGAAATAAATTTTATTAAAATCACATATAAATAGGGTTTAGTGTATTAGGTTTTAAAAATGTTTTCCATCATTAACTGCTGAAGATGCTGAAGAAGTTCTTGAAAGGCAACACAAACACGACGTCTCATCTCATCAGGAATTCCCAAAATGACTAAATGCTTGAGATTTTTTCTCTGGGGTTATGTCAACGATAGTCTATGAAAAGAGTATGGAGAATTTGGAGGAACTGGAAGAACGCATTACTAGTCATTTTGGGAATTCCTGATGAGTTGAGACGTCGTGTTTGTGTTGCCTTTCAAGAACTTCTTCAGCATCTTCAGCAGTTAATGATGGAAAACATTTTTAAAACCTAATACACTAAACCCTATTTATATGTGATTTTAATAAAATTTATTTCAGATTTTTATCATTTGTAGTTTTCGAGATATTAATTTTTATTTACGTGCGCTCTTTATGCCGGACGCTGTAAGACAACCAACAAAAAAACTATAGACATTACTATATTTCTGATTAGTGTATAATTTATATTTTATGCCACAATTTAAAAAAGTAAAGTTTTAATACTATGATAGTAGTATTTTCCAGTTTTTCAAAACTATTTCTAAAAGTAACATGTTGATTTAACATAACATTTTATTGATGTTAGGGGTCGTATTTTAAATAAATTATTTTTGAGATTTTTGAGGTCTATATTATTCACCAATATTCAAATGGCTTATATTATAGATTCTAATATAATATTTGGGTTTATTTAGTGTAATTTTTCACTTAAGTATTAGTTAGTTATTAAGTTTTAAAATTTAGCCAAATTTATGCAAACATGAAATATCTATGTCTTGACATTTATTTATTTGTCATAACTTTTTACCCTAAAATCACAGATCAATCAATTTCATTAAATAATTTGTATTATTTGTATTATTATATAATACTAGACTATTTGTAATTATCATCTACTTAAAAATGTGAACTGTATAAATTTAATTATTAATATAATATTAATAAAATTATTAGCTAAAAGTGGCAAAGATATAATTAAATAAACAAACAAAAAATATCTATTAATAATTTTTAATATTTATTATTCAATATGCAATATATTGTTAGAATTATAATTATTATTAAATTCACAGTAACTAAAGATATCTAACTATTTTTTATTAATTTTATTAACAAAAGAATAGACACTTATATTGTTAATCTTTTTTTTAAATTTATTTATGTTTATACTTATTGACAACATTTTCAAAAAGTTGCGGTAATTTTGTTAAATTGTTTTCAGCTTTAATTCGTTGCGATATTTTTTGCATTTTTTCGTTCAATTCCTTGTCATTTAAAAGTGTTTCAATAGTTGTTAATAACTCCTTTTCAGAGCACTTGTAGGCATCGAGTCGTATACCAAACCCTTTTTCATGGACTCTCTGTGCGTTATCGAACTGATCGCCAAACAGTGGCATAACTATCATAGGCTTTCCAAAGTAAAAACATTCAGTAATAGTATTGTTTCCGCCGTGACTTATAACCAAATCAACTAATGGCAGGACTTGTGTTTGCGGTACACTTGTCTGACCCCACATATTGTCCGTCAGATCGTACTCATCACCTAACGGTCCCTTTGATACTATGAATACGTTTTGCGACTTCAATAATATAGCAATCAATCGCTTCATATTATTGACATCTACTGAACATATAGATCCAAACGAAAAATAAATAACTTTTCCCGGTTTGTCTCTCAATTGCTCCGGCATTATAAATGATTCATTACTGATGTCTTTTCTCATAAAGTTATCAAAACGATACCAATTGTCGGGCAGTGGTCTTATGTCGTGATAATCCAATTCCAATGGAAAGTCATATATATTTAGAAATTGAGATTTTGGATAAAGTTCTCCATAGAAAAGCAATTCAATGGTCATCTGTTTATAATAATTCAATTGTGAATTGTTTTCATTAATTCCGTTAATTATTTCACTAATAAGTTTTGGCCAATTATCTTTTGGACCATTAGTTGGCAAACCTTAATAGCATTAATAATAATTATAATACTAATAATAATTTTATTTTATTTTATTACCCAAATGTGGTGGTGGTGTCCGATGATCGCTCAACATTGTCAACGGATTACTAGCGCATACCATAACCCATGGTATGCCTGACTTTATCACTGATGGCAATGGTTTGATTTGATCAGTTACTATAATATCGGGCTGTACTTCATGTATGGCACGATAGACATTGTCATCAAATAACTGTCCAAACATTATTGTTAACTGATTCATACGTTTGATTGAAGCCATACATTTTTCTGCGGGTGTCAATCGGTTACCAACAATGCCTAACACTTTCATTAAAAAAACTGATTTTTCCTTTGAATTTTCAGACAAACTTTTGCTGGTATTATCTTTATATATCGGTAACGATGGCCACAAACATGTTTGTATGCCATAGTTTGCTAACATATTAGTCCATTGAATTTCGACACCAAACCAGCATTCATGGCCCGCTTTAATCAATACCTGTGCCATACCTATGGCTGAATTTATATGACCGATACCATCTAATGGTATAAACAATACTTTTAATTTTTGAGCCATAGTTTTATTTTTTAAATATTATTATTTTTTATCTAAAAATAATTAGTTAGTATAATATTTAGAGTTTGCAATATTAGATTTTATTATTTTAATATTTTATTTAGCTAACTAGTTAAATATTGCATTAAAAACTCCAATATAGACTACGTGATTTCAATATTTTAATATAATATAAAAAATAAAATAATTATTATTAATTAGAAATAAAAATTAAAAAAATAGATGACTTTACAAACTTTAAAACTATTATCAGTATTTTGTTTATGCTTAAAAATCCTTAGAAATTTATTAAATTAAAAAATCATTTAATTAGTAAATTAAAACGTTTTTAATCGAAAAAATTGAATCATTTATTATTATAATTTTTTTTTTTTTGTTTAATTTTGTATTACACTTAAATTAATTAAAATGTTTGCTAATGAGGCTTATTAAAACAATTAACAATTAAATTACAACTACTTTTATTGTAAATTATATTTTATTCTGATTAAATCAATTATTATTAATATTATTTTTTGACGAAATCATATAAGAGGCTTATCACATATTACGTCCGCACTTTTTAAGAAATCTAGACACCCTCTCTCCCCTAAGTTGGAAATTGTTGGCATGTAGTCATTTAAAAAAAATTACGTTTTCATGTCCCTAACCGCTACCCTCCTCACCACAAGAAATAAAATATTATCTAAATGCTATCGTTCTTAAAGTCTCTACCCCTCCCCTCCTCTTTGTTCTGTTTGGCTAACCCCCCTCCCCTCAAGTGCGAACATAGTATGTGAACCACGCCTAAATGCTTTAACAATGTATATTTACTTAAATATTTCTGATACTAAATTAATAGTTTAACTAAAAATTTTAAAGGAAAATTAAACTATTATACTTTATTAGATAATATTTAATTATTGAATGAAAAATAATATAGTTAAGCACTATATTGATACTTTATTTTTTTAATAATATATATATTTTAAATAAATTACAAAATATTTTTTAGAATTTTAATATTATTAGATTTTTTTTGTTATTTATTTGAATGCATATTTAAATTAAAATAATAACATTTATCAAATTGTGATAAATATTATTTAAATGCTAAATAAAAGTATAAAAGTATTAAAGAAAAATAATTGAAATATAGTATATTATCATATTTAGGCAATAATTATCGAAATTATGAAATAATTATTATATTATTTCAAACACAATCATCAAATTTTAGTAATTAGTTTAGTGTCGACAGGTTGCCCGCTCCGGGCGATCGCACACCTTATTCCTGTTGTTCCATTTGAGACCCGCCGGACACGGCATCACTACCGGTCTACCGGTACGGCCGTCTGGATTGACAGTACACTGTATGTATGTATTACAGTTAAGCCAATTAGTGTACAGACAGTCTTTCGGTCCCAAACATTTGGTCCTAATTATGTCCCACACCGGGCATCGTAATTGACGACATGTCGACGATTGGGGCCAATCGCAGCTTTTGGTGTTGTCGTTCCACTCGAGTCCTTGAGGACAGGTCTTAACTACGGGACGACCAGTTTTGCCATCTTTATTGATCAAACAGAGAACAAACTGGTCACACCTGTATGGATGGGCATACAGACAATCACTGGGACCCAAACATTTGGTTTCAATAATGTCTTTAGTGGGACACTCAAAGTCTAAGCCATTGACTGTATTATTAGTATTATTTTAGTAGGAAATTAAAAAAAAATAATATTTTTATTTATTATTAATTATTAGCAAAAAATTGTAAGTAAAATAGTAAAAAAGTAAAGTAGTTTTTTTAAAACTCTAGATTACCTGTTGATTGACAGTAAAGTATTATAGAAAATAATATAATAAATAAATTTAACATTTTTACAATTTATTAAATTAGTTAGTTTTTTCTAAACAATTACAATAATAATAATTTTAAATTATAATTGTATAATTGTTTTTTTCTATTTGAATTTTTCTTGCAGTTTATATAGTTTATGTTATTTAATATTTTTGCATATGTATGTAAAAATTATAACACTGGGTATTAACATTGATTATGTATTACCAGATTATGTATGCAATTATTTTTTATTTAATCAATTTTACGTGAGTTGATAATTTTATGTTGTTTTTTAATTAATTAATTTTAATGTTGGATTTAACTAGACTGGTGCCACTAGTAAACAGGGATCAATGTAAATATCTATATAATTAATTAAATAAATATCAGAAAATATTGATCAAAAAAAATTATTGCCACTAAAATGATAACAATTGAGGATTAACAAATCAATCATAAACATAAAAACTAATAATACTGTATACAACTGTATTACAATCAGTGTTGGCAGAGACAAAGTGTATGTATAATACAAAGCGTATTATACAGTATAATACAATGTAAATTACATGACAATTTTGGCTTACAAAAAAAAATTTGCGTCACCTAGTAACAACAATACAAAAATTCACAAACAAACACATGTTTTGTAATAATAATTATTTTTTATTTAAAAAAAATTTGAAATTAACTATTCAATTTAATTCTGGTATTGAAATATATTAATAAAATAATTAATATTAATTTTTAATAGTTTTAGAAAACAACAATTCTAATAACGATATTGAAATTATGTAATAATAATAATTTTAATAAAAAAATAAATATTTTATCATTGTTAATGTAATTTTTCTATAATTGTAAAATACATCCAGTACATTGTATTTTGCTGTAATTTACAAGTCCAAAATTGAAAACCTTGTATTTTTCCAACCCTGAATACAATACAAAACAATTTTTTATAAGATCAATTTTTACACTACATTAATTTATATCAAATAATTTTAAATTATTAATATTAATTATACTTTTTTTGTTAACAAGTTGTTAATGTTAATGCATTTTAAAGATTAAATAGTATTATAATTTTAATATTATTGTTTCAATAGATATAACGTTGAATAAGTTGCATAAGTTGACAACCAATAAATAGTACAAGTAATATAATAATTAGTATTTTTATAGTATTAGTAGTTTTATAAAATATAAATTTTTGTTTAATATTTTTATAGTATTTGGTCCCAAAATTTGTATTTTTTGTGACATAAAATCTATTTCTTTTTTATTATCAAAATAATTGTCAACTTTGGGTCAGATCTGACACTTTAACAGTGAGCTCTCAACTCATATGATGATTGTCTACCAAATAAAGAGTTAGTTTTAACAAAACAAAAAAAATTATTACATAAAAACAGAAATATTTAATAATATTTTATTTTTTAAAAAAAAAACTTTAAAAAATTATTTATCTATGATATTACTACTGTATTTTATTTTCTATTACCAAAAATACTATTGAATCTATAATGTGGTCGGTGTTGTTGTCGCGGACATGTAGACAGATGTGGCCAATCACACCATTTTTGTTTGTCATTCCATTCGAGTCCAGCCGGACAGTCCTTGACAGTCGGTCGGCCGGTCCGACCATCGGCATTGACTTCGCAGTGTATAAACTTATTGCAGTTAGTCGGGTACGGATACAGACAGTCTTTCGGTCCCAAACATTGAGTGTTGATTATGTCTTCTTCGGGACAGTCAAAGTCTGGTCCCGGGTTAGGTGTAGTTGTTGTGGGACTGGGAGGTACTCTCTTTGTTGTTGTTGATGGACAAACCCAATAACATTGGCCATCAGTCGGAGTGGTTGCATTGGCTGTCGGCGTTACAATGTTATCGGGTGTTGCAGGAGTTGGAGGACATCCAGTAGACATGTTTGGCCAATCGCATTGCTTTATATTATCATTCCATAGCAACCCATCGGGACAGTCCTTAATGGTAGGTCTACCGGTAACACCGTCGGCGTTGACTTCGCAGTGAATAAATTGATCGCAATGTTTCGGATGTGGATACAGGCAATCCTTAGGTCCCATACATTGAGTGTTTGCAATGTCATCGACAGGACAGGTAAACCTTATGTCTGGCGTAGGGCTTACTGTCGATGGAGTGGGTTTGGTGGGTATAATTGGCGTTGGACTAGGTGTTTCCTTATTGGGACAGGTAGAACTTGCCGGCCAGTCACATATTTTTTCTTTATCGTTCCATTCAAGACCTGCGGGACAGTCCTTAACGGTTGGTCGACCGGTTTGACCGCCGGCATTGACCTCGCAATGGATGAACTGACTGCAGTTAGTCGGGTGTGGATACATACAATCCTTGGGTCCCATGCATTGAGTGTTAATGATATCATCGACTGGACAGGTAAACCCTATGTCTGGCGTAGGGCTGGCTGTTGATGGAGTTGGTCTGGGAGTGGGTTTGGTGGGTGTGACTGGTGATGGACTAGGCGAGTCCTTATTGGGACAGGTAGAACTTGCCGGCCAATCACAGATTTTTTCTTTATCGTTCCACTCAAGACCTGCGGGACAGTCCTTAACGGTTGGCCGACCGGTTTGACCGCCGGCATTGACCTCGCAATGGATGAACTGACTGCAGTTAGTCGGGTGTGGATACATACAATCCTTGGGTCCCATGCATTGAGTGTTTATAATGTCATCGACAGGACAGGTAAACCCTATATCTGGTGTAGGGCTGACTGTCGATGGAGTTGGTTTGATAGGTATGTTTGTACTGGGTGTTTCCTTATTGGGACAGGTAGAACTTGCCGGCCAGTCACATATTTTTTCTTTATCGTTCCACTCAAGACCTGCGGGACAATCCTTGACTGTTGGTCGTCCTGATTGACCGCCGGCATTGACCTCGCAGTGAATAAACTGACTGCAGTTAGTCGGGTGTGGATACATACAATCCTTGGGTCCCATACATTGAGTGTTTATAATGTCATCGACAGGACAGGTAAACCCTATGTCTGGCGTAGGGCTGGCTGTTGATGGAGTTGGTCTGGGAGTGGGTTTGGTGGGCGTGACTGGTGATGGACTGGGTGAGTCCTTATCGGGACAGGTAGAACTTGCCGGCCAGTCACAAATTTTATCATCATCATTCCATTGAAGACCTGCAGGACAATCTTTGACTGTTGGTCGACCTGACTGACCACCCGCGTTGACCTCACAATGTATAAACTGGTCACACCTTTCAGGGTGTGGATATAAACAGTCCTTAGGACCCAAACATTCGGTTTCAATGATGTCATTAGCCGGACATTTAAAGTTTAGTCCATAGACTGTAATAATTATAAATAATATTTCAAATTAAATAAATTGTTAATTATTCGTTAATAAATATTTAATTGTAATAAATTGTAATAATATTGTTAATAAATCATAAATAATATATATATTTTTTATAGTTTAATTAATATAGTATAATACATTACCTGTATAATCACTGTAAACTAATATAGAGCATAATATGATAATTAATTTGGCCATCGTCAATTACTGTTAAAGTATTAGTTTATTTTTTTTAATTTTTGTAACCTTAACCATAAACTAATTGTATTAAAATAAATGTTTATTGTTTAAATACCTTCAATTTTGTTTTGATCAAAAAAAAAATATAATTATATGTCATATATTTTATTATCTATACACCCTTTCATATATTATATAATTGTATTTTTCCCAGAATATATACAGTATATGAAGTCATTTTATTGTTATAAATTGTCATCTATTCAATGGTGACCAAATTGACTATTGTTTTTTCATATAAATTTTATACACTACTTTATTTGATATATAAATACAATTTTTTTTAAAAAAAAGAAATAAATAGCTTTTAAATAAAACAAACTAAAATAAATAAATAATAATTTAATAGATATATTGTAAAAAAAATTGAACAATAATGTAATTGATATAGTAAATTTTATTGATTTTTATCAATCTAATTAATAAAAAGTTATTTTTTATTAAATTTTTTTAACTAACACTTAAATCTTTTGATATTACTTACTGTATGATTAAATTAATAAAATATATTAATTATACAGTCTAAATAATTTTATCATATGATCAGTCTATGCGCAAAATATTTTTTTATTAATTTATAACATCTAATTTAATTAAGTATGAAATTGATAAAAAAATGTGCAAAATAATAATGACATTGATTGCAAAATTTTATTGTAATTAAACTTTTAGGGAATGCCATCATTAAATTTTTTTATTAATACGTTATAATAATTATATTGTAATAAATTAACATTTAATTGAATATAACATCATAACTATTGCATACTGATCTAAATTTGTAAGTTATCTGTATAATAAAATTTTTTTATATATTTAATACAATATAGTACCGTATATTTATAAAAAAATAAAATAAAATTACATTTACTAAAAAATAGTAACTAAGCAAAAAATATAAAACTTAAAAGTATTAATTAACTGTAAAATACTTTACTTAATTTTAATACACTATATTTAAATATTAATTTTAAAAATACAATAAATATTATTTTAAATTTTAAATATTGTTTTATAAATAAACATTAAATTGATTAAAAATAAATTGCCATTTTTTGTTTTATTCATTTAAAAATATTATTATAATTAATAATATATTTATAGTTTATAGTATTTATGACAGATATAACTTATATCCTATTAGACAATTATATAATTTTTATTATGTATAAATTATGTTTAATATATTATCATTTAAAAATTATGACATTAAATTTTTGTTTTTATTAAATGTGTTTTTATAATAATCAGGTAAACTAAAATTAAAAAATTTATTATATAAACTTTATACTCAATTAAATAAATATTAAAAACAACATAGTTATAGTATATGATAATATGTTATAAAATAAAAATAATTAATCTTAAAGTAATAACACTTTAAAAATTATTATAATAAATTTTTAGTTGATCTAAAATAAGTTTAAATACAATTTTTATTTTTTTTTATTTAACTTAACATTTGACATTTAAAAAATTAATATATTTATATTAATCAAATATTTTGTTGTTATTTTTGATGTT